GTTTCCATGTAATGCAAGTTCAGGAGAGACGCCAACCCCAGCCAGAGCTCAGCTGCACCTGACATTAAGGGGGAAGGATGGGGTTAAGTGGGGTTGGGGGAGGCGGGGAACAGGAGGCTGCTGTGGGTCTGACTCTGGCCCTGTCCTGGGCTCGGGGCCAAAGTCAGAGCCACAGCAGCTATCCCCCTTCACTTTGTACATGAATATAAGATGAGGGGCTCTTTCCCCCATACTGATTGAAGGGGGACCTCATCTTATATTTAAGTAAATATGGTATATGGTTTTTCTTGTTCCTCTCTCTGTTTCTGACATTTCCAGAGTTGCTCTAACTGAGGGTTTATTTTTGCTTTGTGTTTGCTGCTGGATCACCTCTTGCACTGTAAATGTTTTGTAAATGGTTCCGTTCATTCTTTTGCCTTCTTGAGTCCTACCATTCGTTCAAAATTGGTTTTTCTTGGATCTTAAGTATGTCAGTGTTGTCAATTAGGCATCCATTTTTTCATAGCATCATTTTTGTACATTCTTCTTTTGCATAAACATGTTCAAGAGATGTTTCCAGTATACACTGAGATCTGTCTCTCTTCCAATCAGCTTTCAAAGGCCTCAAATTCTTTTGCAATTCTGACAGGCAGTGAGTTTGCTCCTTTAGTCCATATTTGTGCCCACCTTCCTAATGTGCTGAATTTTTTTGTAGTTTTTCAGCAAAAGGCCACCAGGAGTCATGGTGATAACGAGAAGATGTACTCTGCTGTCAGGAAGCAAGGTATGAAACCTCATTCTGCTCTTAATAAAAGTCTTGATGCTGTTTAATAAGACGGAGAGTTTTTCTGTGGGTTAATTTTAGTAGGGAAATAGATGTTAAGTCATCCAAATATGATTATTCAAATCCCCAGTACTAATTCAACTTTAAAAAAGATCAATTAAAGTTACCTTTTCAACAAAACAGATCAGAGAGAGGCTTCATAAATGCTTTCCAAAAAGAAGTGAACGGACAAAATAACTTTATGCTTTCTGATCAAGCTTTCCTTATGGTGATTAAAATGGAAAATAGGTGTATTTTGCCCTCATTCTAACCTGCCCTATGTCAATAGTGAGAAATCCGAAGTTCTCGTGGCTGCTTTATGACCTAAATAAAATGAGTTGCCGGTCTGAGTCCAGTGGCTATTTTAAGTGGCCATACCACAAAACCACCATCATAGGGTACTTCACTTGGTATGTTATGTTAGAACTTATTTTATTTAATGAGTGAGTGTGGAATGGAGATTGCATTATCCTACCTTTTCCTCTGGGAAACAGGTTCTCCAGGCCATGGTTACTGAATATGAATTACAGCAGTGTGGGGTAAATGCACAGTAATGATCTGTTCTGTGAATAAACAGCTCTCTCCAGTGGTATTAATATGTCACTAGCTTACTGAAAAAGATTATTAAAATATAGGAAGCTACTGGGAAATTAATAACTATTGCTTTTGGTAATGGATAATTTTTTAGTTTACTTCTACAAAGGCTATTTGCATAAAAGTTCAAGTAATTATGGGGGGAAATATACCAATCCTTTTGCTAACTAAACTGTGAATACACTTTGAATAAACCAAATCTGATTTTCTTCTGTCTTGCATCTGCTGTAGTCATTTATATTTATTTTGTACAAACATAAAAATTACTACAGATGTAAAATGGGAGATTCAGGCTCAAAGAATCCCAATACTGAGTATGTTTGAAAGGGAATAGAATGGACCACAATCATAGATTCATAGATTCATAGATTAAGGGTCGGAA